AGCAAGCTGAGTCATCTCCACATACCCTGGGCACCCGGGTAACATCGTAGACACTTGCGTGAAAGCATTTTCAGAAGCAGTATCAGCGTTGTGCGCCTCAGATCCGTAACAGCAAATGTGAACACAAAAATCTCCACACACAACAGCAGAGTTTCTCACACATTAGGGCACCAGGGCGCCTCACATTGTTTTTACTGGCTTGGAAACAGCTATGTTAGATTCCACGTGTAAAATAATTTTGTTCCATGGGGGGTTCGGAATCTAACACAAGTGGTTCCAAATTGAAAAAGTGATTGTTTGCAAACTCTGTGGCGTGTCTTGGAAACAGTTATGTTAGATTCCACTTCTATACTGGTGTCTCTTCCTTGGATTGGAGGGGCGTCCGGAATCTAACACAAGTGGTTCCAAATGGCAGGAAACCACTGTTGGTAAGCCCGATGGCCAACCAGGAAAACAAACAGCGCGGAACACCATCACACGTGTATGGGATGGAACACACTTGGCTCCGGAAGCAAACAGGCATTAACATGTCCGTAAATATCCTGCGAGACTCCTGGACAGGTATAAGCCAATCTGGCCAAGCCACAACATATTGTTCCAGAATGCGTCTAATTGAAGTAGCACCTCCAAACATGTTTAAACAGGTTTTCTCGTGCAAAAAAGTTGTCAACTAGAAAGCTCCTCGCCGACAGCAGGTTTTCACGCTTTCGACAACGATGTGCGAAGAGCTTGGCCAATCTTTCAAACTGGCAGTCAAGCAGTGAACCCCATCAGAGGTCAGCAGCATGAGAGCTGCCACCCTCTAAACCCCAGCCGCTGCCCAGCCACAAAGGGGCCCAAACAAACCAACCACACTTGGGAACTTGCTTGCAACAAGGGTGAACTACCCTATGAATATACTAACAAAAGGTTACACAACCATGTAGTGAGAAACCATTCATCCTCACACTTCAGGTTCCTCAGTCTCAGCCACTTTGCAGCTGTTTTGGGCAGGTAAACCTTGACCGCAGAAACGAGATTGTTGAATTTCAAACAATTTGACTCAATGGCCATGGCAACATCCTTGTAGATGGCCTTCGACCCCGGATTTTTGCGCCCCTCGCCCATCTCCAACTCGCAAATCTCTTGGTAGCGCTTGGCGATTTCGCCTGGGCCACTCCGGGCAAAAAGTGCAACAAGCAGACAAGCTTTAAAAAACAATGGAAGTGGACAAATGCAAAAGCATATACAAACATATGCCACAATCAGAGGTGCCGTTGCACTGCTTCAAGCTTGTCCACTCTTCCCTAAGTCTTTGTGATGGTGAGAAATTGAAGTTCCCCCCCCCAGAACACACTTACACCACCTCATTTTACACACGGCACACGGGACAGCCCCTACCAACCTGAAAAACATGTAAAAAGTGAAAGCGTTTGCTTTGACTTGATGAAAGGGTCTGGCCACTTGTTGGTTTTGCTTGGGTCCATCGCTCGTCAAGGTCTTTGAACGCAGTCCTTCTGCTAAGGCATGCTTTTTTGTATTTCTGAACAAACTCGGCAACAGTTTCCGCGCCATCAATGGATGGGAAGACATTCTTGGGCGGTTTCTTATGTTCTGGTTGTTCCGGAGGTGTATCGTCGGAGTCAATCTCAAGGATGTCCCCCAAGTCCAAGCTGAAGCCTTCTGAAAACAAGCCGGAGTCCGTCATTATCTCTTCGAGCTCTTTGAGTTTCTCAGAGCCTTGCCTTAGATTTTTTGCTACACAACACCCCCTAGCATTCACACACGTATAGTGAAGCTTGCACAATTTATTGAAATTGAAAGTAAGCCGACACACATATCCAAACACCCTAAAGATTACAATTTGTATGAGAAGGCTCGTCACCTTGTCTTCCGTTTGCACCAAATACTTGGTCACCTTTTCATACATACACTGCTTTGTCAGCTTCTTCAACTTGCAGTGTTGAATTGCACCAGCGATCTTAGTCCTTAATTCTTGATGTGCGCGATGTGAGAGTTTTTCAATTTAGTTATTTCTCAGTCAGCAGTTACACAAATTACAGAGACGTCACCAACATCAAACAGTTACTCCTCAACCATTGTTTAAAAAATATATTTGTCAGCCAAAAGTCTCAGACCAGCCCTTTTCCTTCATTTCCTGCTCTGTGAGCCACTCATAGCCTTTGAATGTCTTAGACCAGTCCCGACTCATTTGTCTCAATTTCACGAAAGCCTCCAAGCGCGCACGGTTACCTGCATGGTCCTCATGTGGGTTGTAGCACTTCGAGACGAACGTTGCCAAGAGTTTGTTCCTGCTGGCGCCTCCTGCTCTCCACTCTTGTAGGATTTCAGGGGATACGTGTTTCTTTTCCCCGTCCTTGCAAAGGCGATATAGGAACCCCCAGGCTTGTGGACAAGTCATGGAGTTGATGACAGCTGGTGGACCAGTCCTCAAACACAGACAAACTGGTATCTCTATTCACACTCACTCTCAAATATATAGTTTTTCAACACCCGCTACAACTTGAACAAAGACGCACATCACAGGTATTCCAAAATTATTTCACATACATCAAGTCACACAACCACTCCAGCAGCTTTAGGCGCTGAAGCTGGACTGTCTCCGGGAGGGAGCCCACTGGCATTTGAAGGCGGCGAGGTTTGGGGTGCTCGAACGACCTTGCCGGGCGACACAGGGTGCTCACGCCAAAGGCCAGAGCTCACTTGACCTGCTGGGAAAGGAGTTTGTGGCAATGGTGCCAAAACTGTGGGTTGAGCCTGGCTTGTGGCAGGGGACAGGGCAGTCTGTGATGCTTGATCTGCTGGGCTTACTTGGGCCATGGGAGTTCGGGGTGAGGTTTCACCTGGGGCAAACAACTGCTTGGGTTCAGGCTGAGGAATGAGTGCAAGACGGGATCGTTTCGGCAGAGGTTGATCTGGGGTCATGGTCCTCAGCCGTGCAGGGGTCAGGCTGGGTGAGAGTTGTTGACCTGCAAGCTGTCCCCGCAGCATCTCCATTCGTTGGTGTGCTTTCTGCTCCAATGCTTTGTGCTTCTGCAGTGCTGCTTCCGCTTGTTGGATCAGCAATGCTTCTTGAGCAGCGCGAGCCTGGTGTTGCTGAATCTCTTGTTCGATGAGCTCTTGCTGTTGGGTTTGTGCTTCCAGCTGTTCCTGCTGCTGTTCCAGCATTTGTCGCATCTGTTGCTGTTCTTGCTCTTGCTTCTGAAGGCAGAGACGCTGTTGTAAAGCTTCTTGCTGCTGAGACTCTTGTTGTAGCAAGGCCTGTTGCTGGTACTGCAGCTGTTGTTCATGCCTTTGCAGCTCTTGCTTGACTGCTTGCCCACATGGCTGTGCCCCTTGCTGAAGCAAAGCCTGCTGCTGCTGCTGCTGCTGCTGCTGC